CACGCGCACACACACACACACACACACACACACACACACACACTCACATAAAACACATTATAAACACGCACTCAAGTACACACATGAACACAAATCTCTTTACTGCTCTGTTTCTCTGGATAATTACTTCTGGACTGTTAAAGGGAGTGTCTTTCGCTCGTTTCTGTTAGTGTGTTGTGATGAAACACATCCTCTCTTTCTCTTACCATCACTGCTGTGAGAGCTGATGGATCTGGTGTCCACAGACTCTTTCCTCCGGTCCTTGTGACGCAAGGAATTGCATTCTGGATAAGGACAAAACAGGAATGAGTGCAACGAGTGCTGCATTCATCATCTCTTATCTGAACACAGCCAATCAGCTCCACTATTTTCACCTGCATCATCATCATCATTATGATCATCAAAAGCACAACAGTGATTTCATGCAGCAGACAAAAGTGAGCAAGACAAAAATCATACACTTTCCTTTTTCACAAAAATAAAAGACTAGATGGACATATTTGTTAGTTAAAATAAATGCAATTTAATTTATAATTAACTATAATCTCTGATTGTTATTTATAAATTGATTTATATTCATGTTATACATTACAATTTTATTAAACATTCAACTATTTAAACTATTTACATTTAAATAAATTTTTATTAGATGTATTTAATTTTCAATTATTTAAAAATGAAAGATTAATATAAATATTAATACACTGAATATAATAAATATTAAATATAACGTAAATACAATAATTAAATGATTACATGTAATTAAATATAATATTTCTACTAATTTAAGTCAATATTTAATTCTAATTTCAATACATAGCAAAAGCAAAAATGCTGTTGAACAAATTATTTTATTTTAAAAGTGAAATATTAAAATATGAATATATTAAATATTATAATATTAAATTTAATATTTAATTTAATACAATCATTTAATTTTTTCATTATTTTATGTAGTTATTGTTTTATAGTTATTTAATTATACATTTAGTTATATTAATTTTATACATTTAAATTTTATTACAAATTAAATTATTTAAATGAACCCAAATGTATTAGGAGCTTTATTGAAAGACAGATAGAAAGATGGATATTTAATTAAAATATCAATTCAAATCAACATAATATAATTTATTCTAAACTATAATCTTTTATTTATAATTTGATTTATATTAATTATACACATTTAATTTTGATTTCAGAGCACTCTTTAACACATTTTCTGTTTTTAATTTGAGACCATTTTTAATGTCATATAAAGAATAGCAATAGTGATTCTTGCCCTAGAAAGCAGCACAACTGATGTGAAACGCTAAACACTGTTACTTACTGGGTCATGTCACATATGCACATGCACGCACACATATTGGCAAGCAAATTATTATGGCTAATTTTAACAGTCTGACACTCGACTGTCCCAGGGTGCACTGCAGCCATCTGTCTGTTCTGCAGCACGATCTAGCTCTCGATTTTCCCCTCTACTTCTCGATGCAGCATTGACCTGTGCATTTTCATTCACGCTTTTGTTTGATTCACAGAATGTTACAAAAACCAAATCTATACAGAGCCATTATGGGTTACAGTGTGCAACACAGACAGTAAACAAACAAACAAACAAACTGTTAATGACAGTCTGATGTTATACCTGATTGTGAGTGTTCACCACAGCATTTCTCTTCTTTGCTTAACTTATGAACCTGCAAACACAGATTTCTGATCAGCTCTCTCTCTCTCTCTCTCTCTCTCTCTCTCTCTCGCTCTCTCACACACACAAACAAACACACACTCACACACAGACACACACACACACACACGCGCACACGCACACGCACACACACACACTGATTGCTAAGCATTTAAACCTCTCACTTATCTCAGTGTACACTTTCTGGCAACAATATAACTAGGACGAATGTGCAAAATGATATCAGGTGTCAGATGAATTAGGGGTGATTATGTTTTGTGTGGAATACAGCAGGTAAGTTTACAGAGTTAACTAGTCCCAGGTCCCGACATGCTTGGTTGCTGAAATATCAGTCAGATGTCCCTTTCTTGTCTAAGTGGGTGGTTTTTGGACACAATAGACTACAATATGCCATGAATTTATCACAAGACTAAAATTTTAAACGAACGTCAACACTTGAGCCTAATGTCAATACATCACAAAAATAAAAATGCTATTGAACAAAATCCTTGTGAAAAGTGAGAAAAGTGAAAATATTTTAAAATGGTTAAAAATGTGAAATATTAATATCAATACATTAAATATTATAAATATTAAATGTATTTAATTAAAATACAGTAATTATTACATGTAATAAAATATCATATGCATACTAATTAAAGTCAATACTTGATACGGTTACATTTTATTTTAAGGTGTCCTTGTTACAGTGTAATTATACATTTAAGTATTGAGTAATATTAATTAACTACATGTACTTACTATATGGTTAGGGTTCAGTTTAGGGTTACTTGCATGTAATTCTGCATAATTTATTGTTATTATAATAGTAAGTACATGTAACATGTAATAAGGACACCTTAAAATAAAGTGTTACCCTTGATACTAATTCCAATACCATCGCAAAAGCAAAAATGCTATTGGACAAACTCCCATAACAAGTTACATATTCATAAAAATATGAATTCATTAACTATTATAAATACTAAATATAATATTAAATTAAATACAGTAATTCAATTATTAAATGTAATTAAATATAATATCTATACTAATACAAGTCGATACTTAAGACTAATTTCAATACAAAAAATGCTACTGGCCAAATTCCTTTATTTAAAAAGTGAAATATTAAAACTACATTACATATTATAAATATTAAATATAATATGAAATGCAATTAATTGCATTATTAAATGCAATTAAATATGAATAAAATATTGATTTAAAATATTATATATACACAATACCATTTAAAAGTTTAAAGTCAGCTAGCTTTTTATTTGAAATAATTTTTCTTTTCAGCCAGGACACATTCAATATATCAACATTTATAATATTACAAAAGATTTTTATTTCAAATGCTGTTCTTTGGAACATTCCATCCATCAAAGAATCCTGAAAAAAAGGGTTTCCACAAAAATATTAAGCAAAATAAATGAGCAAATCAGCATATTAGAATGGTTTCTGAAGGATCATGTGACACTGAAGACTGGAGTAATGATGCTGAAAATTCAGATTTGATCACAGGAATAAATACAATTTAAAAGTTTTTTTCAAACAGAAATCAGTTATTTTAAATTGTAAAAATATTTCACAATATTACTGTTTTTACTGTATTTTTGATCAAATAAATGCAGCCTTGGTGAATCAATCAATTTGATTTTTGCTGTTTAATCACAATTTGACTGAAACCTAAGCAACTTACAAAACGTCTTGTTGCTTGTTGTTTGTAGTGGCTGGTTAGGCTAGAGCCTTACATTAACATTGAATAGAAAGGCTTTATCACATTTGTCCCTCTGTCAGCTCTGTTCCTGATCAGAACACGGTTTAAGCATTTGCTGAATTCACCTGGGTGGAAATCCTGCCCGCAGCAATTCATTTAATCCTTTTAACATGATCAAGTTTTGAATGAATCAAACAGGATTTTCAGTCTTAGGTTAGAGATTAAAGAGTGCTGCCAAAAAGGAATCTACACAGTTTGCGGTTTGCTTTTTGGTAACATGGTTATTTTGTATACATTTTCACACTTATACATATGCACACACTCAAAAATAGATGACATGTAAGTAGAAGTATAAAAGAGCTTAGTTACACTGTCCTGAAGGATGAGGTCAGGAAATCTGACAAACACACACACTGCACCACAGGAGAAGATTTACTACAAGCCCACTGATAATTACTGTTATTTGTATCTTGTTTAATTCAGCAGAATTTGTAAAGTACATTTAAATTGGTTCGGTTCTTAATCAGTATGTCTAACATAACAGAAAAGATTGATTTGAATTGATATGAATTGATTCACCAAGGCAGTAAAAACAGTAATATTGTGAAATGTTATCACAATTTAAAATAACTCTTCTCTATCTGAATATATTTTAAAATGTAATTTATTTCTGTGATGTAAAGCTGAATTTTCAGCATCATTACTGCAGTCTTCAGTGTCACATGATCTTCAGAAATCATTCTAATATGCTGATTTGTTGCTAAAAACATTTCTTACTATTATCAATATTGAAACTCATGCTGCTTGATATTTTTGTGTAAATCGCTATTTGTTGAGGTTTCTTTAATGAATAGAAATTTAGTGTCACACGATCCTTCAGAAATCATTCTGATATGCTGATTTGCTGAAACATTTATTATCATTGTCAACTTTGAAAACAGTTGTGCTGAGTAATATTTTTGTGGAAACTTTGATTCATATTTTTAAAGTCTTTAATGAACAGCAATAAAAAAAAAAAACAGCATTTATCTGAACAGAGATCTTTTGTAACATTATAAATATCTTTATTGCCACCTTTCAATTTAAACCACCCTTGCAGAATAAAATTTCTTATTTTTTATATTTAAAAAATAATTGTATTTAATAATTTTAATAATTATAATTTTTATATTATACATTTTTTTTATATTTCTTTTGAATGGTATATATACAGTTTTTCCTTGCTTTGAATAAAAGTACAATTTTAAAAAATTAAAATAAATGTAACAAAATTCTGTGGGTGTTTATACTAGTGCTGTCAAACGATTAATCACATCCAGAATAAAAGTTTTTGTTTACATAATATATGTATGTGTACTGTGCATATTTATTATGTATATATAAATACGCACACATACAGTATATATTTTGGAAATATTTACATGTTTACGTACAGTGGGGAAAAAAAGTATTTAGTCAGCCACCAATTGTGCAAGTTCTCCCACTTAAAAAGATGAGAGAGGCCTGTAATTTTCATCATAGGTATACCTCAACTATGAGAGACAAAATGAGAAAAAAAA